TTTTACCAAACACCCAAATCTCCAAAACTTTTTTTTAAAGCTGCTTATTTTTTAAGTTAAGCAACCCCAAACCAGCCCTTACTATTTACCAATTTGATGCTAAAGGAGGAACAGAAAGCAACTGCTTGTTTTGAAATGACAGAATCACACAATACATCATTGATCAATGTAAGCCAATGTTGTGTCTACCCTTATGAAGGACAACAACATTTAGGTCCTTAGGGATTAGGACCTTGTCGTTACAACTTATGTAACCAAATAAAATGAAACTAATGAAATTTACGGAACTCATAAAACTCGGAAGCATATTGATGCAACCCAAAAATATTAAGGAAACTATTGTTCAAGTTATTCCCATGCAACAATAGCAATACCACATCAGTAAACATGAATAGGAGGAGCCTCATGAGATTCCTCATATTTATTCAAAGTGGCAGGTCCCGATCAGCTCAGGGTTAGGCTTCCCACCCTCGGAGGACAGTTGCCCTTGCAACGCGGTTAACTCCAAGCGTGAAGGCTCCCATCCGGAGGTCACAGTTGTGGGTTTTGCACATCTCCTTCACATCTTTGAAGCCTTTGGTCATGTAAGTCCTCAGCTCATTGTTCACCTTTTCTTCATCCCACAAGAAACCTTGGATGTTCTGCACCGCAAAACCCACCAAATTTAGTAAAACTATATTTGCTAAAGTTAGAATGTTGTTCAGAGTTGAATAAGATGTATGATACCTGTACCCACTCAAAGTAACTAACAGTAACTCCTCCAGAGTTTGCATATATATCGGGAAGAATTACAACACCTTTCTTTGATAAGATCTGCAATTTAAGAGAGTATAATCATTATTAACCAAAGATTACTTGCTTAACTGTTCCCTGCCTCTGTAACTTTAATTATCAGGCAATTAAGCACTAACCTCATCGGCCTCGGGGTCAGTGGGGTGATTAGCTGCTTCAATGATAAACTTGGCTTTTATGTCATTTGCATTTTCCCTTCATTCAAGAACAACATTTAGGTTATATCCATGCTCTAAGCTTTCATCATGGATGCTGGCAAAAAATCTTGATGTTTCCAATATTTCTAAAGTTTAAAGTAGTACCTGTTGATGACACCTCCCAGGGCTGCTGGAATGAGAATGTCACAGTCTTCAACCAATATTGAGGTGGGATCTATTGGGTCCCCACCATGGAACCCCTTGACACCCCTCTTCTCTTTCACATGGTTGAGTAGGCTTGGAATGTCTAGTCCTTTGCTGTTCTTTACGGCTCCACTGATATCACTCACTGCAACTATTTTGCCACCACTCTCATGGATGAGTTGGGCAGCCCAGGAGCCCACATTCCCAAAACCCTGAGATTGATGCAAATATACCATTCAATTCTTCAATTCATTTCAGTTTAGAGATGTGATTAATTGACTAGGAGCCTAGTGTTGTGTAGAAGTGCACCTGGATAATGAACCGTTGTCCGGAGATGCTCTTTCCATGCTCATTGAGTAAAGCCTCTGTTGCGAAAAGCACTCCTCTTCCCGTTGCTGCATCTCTTCCCAGAGATCCACCAAGATCCTAATTTACACAAGAGACAATATGAGCCAACATGATGATTTTAGCAAAGAGAAGAATGTGGTAGGCACTTGTTCACCAACATATATACTCACAGTAGGTTTTCCAGTCACTACGGCAGGCGAGTAGCCATGAAATTTTGAGTACTCATCTAAGATCCATGCCATGGTCTGTTTAGACACCGAAAAACGAAAAAAAGAAGAAGGGAAAATTGATAAAAGTCAGTCTGAAATTCAAGTTGATAAAATTTAGTCTTGTAAAGTACGGAAAGGAAAATGTGGGATGGTGAACCTGTGGACCCGTCCCCATATCTGGTGCTGGAACATCAGTGTGGATGCCTATAAGATCATGTATCTTTTGGGTGAAAACTCTGGTGAGCCGTTCTAGTTCTGAAACACTCAACTCCCCTGGATCACATCCTATCCCACCTTTGGCACCACCGTATGGGATGTTAGCCACCGCCGTCTTCCACGTCATTAGCTGTGCTAGAGCATTCACCTCATCTGGGTCGACCTACATTCATTTTCCATCCATAAAACACATATTATATACATATTCATAAATATTCTTACACAAAATAGAAAAAAAAAAGTGTTACTAATATATCTGAAAAAAAAAAATTGGTATGTCATACAAAAGATTACCTCTGGGTGATATCTAATTCCTCCCTTCATGGGGCCTCTGGCATTGTCATGTTGAACCCTGAACCCAACAAATGAAGCCAAACTCCCATCATCTTTTGGTATGGTGCACTCAACCTGTCAAAATAGTTCCAAAACCAAAAATCAAATGACCAAATTATATTGGTTTCGAACCGATGCACACTCCTAAACTAAGTAAACAACTGAGCTTTATCAACCACTAGAGGAGAGAGACACGAGTCTAATTAGATTATACATTTAGAAAGGTAATATATTTATAATTACCTTGATTTCCCTAAATGGTATTAGTAAACTTCTCTCAAGCTTGGAGTCCAATCCCAAAAGCCGAGCTGCCAACTTGAAGTTTCTGTTGGTTGCCACCAATGCGTTCATCTTGAATCTGAGTCTGAGAAGCTAAATACTAACAATTATTCAGTGCCTGCTTAGATAGATGAAAAAAATACATCAATTTATTTGCACTCTACAAGAATTCGTCGAAGTTCACATCGAACAAATAAAATGCACAAGATGATCAAAGGCAGAAAATAAAATAAGAAATAGAGGAAATCAGATTTTCTATAAAACTCTTGTAGCTTACAAATAATTTAATGTGCTTTGGTGCATCAATTCAAGATGGCTTTTCTTATCATAAACATCTGCATTTAACAATGGTGCTATTCAACCATAGCATCATGTACAACATTAATGCCAACTTAATTAGCTAACTTAGCCAAGTTGGCTAGAGCGGATGTGCTCTCCACTCTGCATCTAAGTTCGAATCTCCCCGCTTGTATCCAAAATGAAATCAAACTATTGAAAAAAAGGAAAAAAAGAAGAAGAAGAAAGACATCATATATAAATTTAAAGAAAGTGGAGCCCCTGAAGTGAGATTATAATTAAAGTTGACTGAATGACTTGTGAGAGTGATACCACTAGAAAATTTGCAACTAGTGAGTAGTGACTAAATAAACCAATATTGATGATGTTGATCTACTGGATTCTGATTTGTAATTCATAACATTAATATTTCCACACACAAAAAAAAGACGACAAAATGTGCTTGACTTGAGGAATAATTTTTAAAAACCCTGATTAGATTTAGAAACATAATCCCAATGTCCAAAAACCAAAAAGCCAACAAACCAAAAAGGAGAGGGAAACCTGGAAAATGATGAAGTGATATTGGGTATTATTTTGATCTATCAAAGTTATAAGCATCTTCTGTCCAATAAAGCAAAAGGCAAAGGGTCTGTAGAAACTGTTTTCAGCCAAAAATAACCCTAACTCTAAAATCAGACCCAAAAAAAAAAAAAAAAACTG